CCCCCATTCCAAAGCCCATACACCAAGAACAATCTCTGCACAGAGAAGAATCTGGGATAAGGTCAATCTAAAGAGACTGACTGTTTTTATTTATATATAGCATAGACCTTCTTAGAGTTTAATCTTTCCTCTAAAGTGGTTCCAAAGTGGGTGGGTCCCCACGAGAATTGCACGGAGCTCCTGACCTCTCTGGTGAGCACTTCTCCAATTATCCAAGGCAAGTGTTAATTTCAGACTAACTTCTTACTATCCAACATGCCTCTTCCCTCAGTCAGTTCAGCAGGCATAAGTAATATACGATTCCAAACTGAACCATCATTAAGAAAGTGTCTCTGCTCTTCTCACATACATGAAAGCTTACATATATGAAATCAAGCTGGAAATCCAAAGTGGGTGTTTTTTATTTTTGGCAGTTTTATGTTTGGATAACTTATAACTCCCCTAGTCTGCAGACAGATGTTTATTTCCTTATTTCTTTGAACAGATTTCCAGAAGACTCCATCTATGCCCACAGGCTGGTGGGTTTTCCTTGTTGTGGGAGATGGTGGTGCTGGGGACACTAAAGCTGGGCATGAGGCAATGGAGGTGGCAGAGAGCTCAAGGAAGATGAGGAAGCTGGGGCCCATGGGGAGGTGAAACTCCCCACTCATCCTACCGGAGGAGGCTGATGGCAGACATCTGGGCTTCAAGGGATCTGAGAAAATGCACCTAGGGCTTGAAATGCATGGCTTGACATAATTCTAACCAGAGCCCCAATCCCAGTGGACAAAGCAGATGGGCATGTAGGAGCCACAGACTGGAGGCTGGGACCCAGATCAGAGGTGGCGGCTTGGAATCAGAGAAAAGGGAGTGGTGTCTCAGGAGAGCCACTAAGCAGAGGGACTCCTAGGAGCTTTGCCCCCAGCCTGCGCTCATGGGTGAATCATTTGTGCTGTTGAAACAATTCTATGATGTACTCTTGGCATACGAGCTGGAAATCAGTGCAGGCCAGGCTGAAAATCTAACATCTACCGCAGGCAGGCATGCAGAGGTTACCAGCACGGGCTCTGGACTCTGGCTGACTCTTAAGCTTTGGCTTTGCCACTTGTTAGCTATGGTAACACAGGCAAATCACCTAAGCTCTCCACACCTCTGCTTCCTCATCTGTAAAATGGGAATAATATCTGTCAGTTGCCAAGGATGAGCGTGGGAAGGAAAATGGCCAGTAGGCTACGTCAAGGGCCAAATGACTCCCACCCCACGGGCTAGGTGAATGCCATGGCTGGGACACTAGCTCTCCTCCTTCCAAAATTCTAAAGCCCCTTGGACAAAACAGCTGCCTGGATCTGAGCCCCCTCCTGCCACAAGTGTCTGGCCTTTCAGTGCCCCCAAGCCTCTCTTGCCTTCAGCCAGGAGCTCTTTCCATGAAAAGGTCTCTAGGGTAACTCATAGGCATGGTCATCACGCACTGCCAAGCCCTCCCCTCTCCCTCTTCACCCTTTGCCCTCTAAATAAGGAAGCCAGCATTGCCAGGCCAAGAACTTCTGCCCAATTTGGGTCCAGGGTGGCCTCTTACCTCCCTCTTCCCCTGGGCCCCCAGCCAACCCCTCCCACCCTTCGAGATGCTCCTCGCTCACTTCATTCCTGCCTCATAGTTGAAATGACAGTGGCTCCCAGAATCCCTGGGGCATGGGGAGGGTGATGAGGGGTCTGGGGAGGCAGCCAGGCCCAGGAGCAGGTTAATGTTACAGCCTGGGATAAGTGAGCTGGGATAAGTGAGCTGGGTCGGCTGACGTCAGGGTGATGATGGCTGGATGGGAGGGCCAGGCCACTGAACTATAAAGATAGGTCAAATTAAATATAATCAACTCGGGACTGAGCAAGTGGGCCAGCTAGACGGTGTCCCCAAGCCATGGTCCCTACCGGCCTCGGTTCAGCCTGGGTCTCTCTGCTCCCAACC